AGCAGAGGGGGCTTGAAGTCCCCAAGACGGTAAGGAGTGAGATCCTGAAGGCCTACTAATATGGAGGTATTCCACAGGAACAGCCTAAGTCGAGAAACTTCCAGTTGGTGTGGAAACAAATGTAGAAAAGGGATCAGCTATTACAGGGACAGTACTCACTGGAAAGCAGCAAGTAAGTTAAAAATGACAAGGTGGAAATAAGAATAAAATCCTTGAAGGGTGCCTGAAACCAAAATCGGTAAACACAAAAGGCCTGCCTGCCCAATAAACACAGTATCATCAAAACAAATATTACATTAGGCTTTCAAATATACATTATCTTCTGTGTCCATTGTCCATTGGGAAGGGCATGGAATTTCCTATAAAAATCTAAAACCTGCCATCACCTGCCAACGTTTGAGAAGAACATTAAGAGGACCAAGGGCTCCGTGAGAGAGAGTGGCATAATCCAAAGGACCCATTGCCATTTGTGAAAGAAGCAAAACTCACGACTTTCAAATAGGAGGTCAGTGTGCCAACTTCCCATGTTATTTACTGCAGAGAATTGTCCTGCAGCTAGTGATTTCCAAGGGAAATCCCAAAGCCTCTTCAGCTCAACAGGGGAGGTGCCGAGACCAGCTTCTTGCTGGTCAGGTATGCAGGCAGTACATCAACGAAGAGGCATCTCATAGACTCACCCGGGTACCACAAAGCCCTGCCCAAGGGAATGCAACATTTTCTGAGCCCTTAATGTGGGGAGAGACTGGACAGATACATCAATGAGAGCCTTGGACCCAGAAGAACCAGCTCAGGGAAGAAACAGGATCATCACTTGCCCCAGAGACCACTCTTACACGCCTCATCCCGTTTTTGCATGTCCCACCATCCAACATTACCCTGAGCTTTAGGGATTTGCTCATCAACACCAGACCGCACAGTCTTTCCCTTTCAAAAGAAAATATATCTTTATTGATTTCAGGAAGAAAGGAAAGATAGAGAAATATCAATGATGAGAGAGAATCGTTGATTGGCTGCCTCCTGCATGTCCCACACTGGGGATGGAGCCTGCAACCTGGGGATGTGCCTTGATCAAGAATCGAACCATGGTTCAAGCATGTCAAACACAGCTGGCAGATGGTGAGTTTGACATGCTTGTCCTGGTTCATAGGTCAGCGCTCAACCATGGAGCCACACTGGCCGGGCAGAGAGCAATGTGTGTGTATGTTTGTTAAAGTGGCAAGAGGGAAGTTGAGAAAAAGCACAGGTAAAAACACACATACCTGAACCATTTATTATTCAGTTGATAAAAAAAATAAATAAATAACTGCCCTTTACTCTTATTTATAAGTAGTCAGAGAGGGTAGCACTTGCTAATCTTATAGTCCTAACTAAGGTCTTTTTTAAAGAGGTATGAGACTTAACCTCCAACTCTGAAACTCTACCTTGATTGATTTGGGCAAAGGTCCTCAATTCCATGGTTAAAAAAAATAAATAAAACTCTCTTAAGTTCTTTCAAGAGATAAAAACCACAAAAAGGGAGAGACAGAGATAAAACAGAAGCAAAACCATTTATATTCCGACTTGCTCATTCATGAGAATATGTTCTTGATGGAATCTCGGCACTGGAAAGAACCCAAAAGCTTCTAGTTGAGGGATTCTCAAATCTGGCTACAAGTCAGAATCACGTGTGAAAACAGCTTACTGGGACTCCGAATTTCCCCAACCCGCCTCACCCCCACTGAATCGCAATCTCCAAGGAGGGGTCGAGACACGGCCATGGACTTGAAGAGCCACGGGTGATTCTGACGCCGTCTGGTATGTTCCTGAGGGCCAAAATCCCAGCGACACACGTGTCCGGAAGGGTCCATGTTCCAACCCTCAGGGACCAGGATCCCACGGCATTCTGTGTTCTCCCAGTCACAGCAAATTTAAAACTTTTTAAATTTTTGAAAAAGAGCAATGCCGCCGAAACCAGTTTGGCTCAGTGGATAGAGCATTGGCCTGTGGTCTGAAGGGTCCCGGGTTCGATCCCGGTCAAGGGCATGTACCTTGGTTGCAGGCACATTCCCAGTAGGGGGTGTGCAAGAGGCAGCTCATCAATAATTCTCTCTCATCGATGTTTCTAACTCTCTATCCCTCTCTCCTCCTCTCTGTAAAGAAATCAATAAAATGTATTGATATATATTTTAAAAAAAAAGTTTTTAAGCTTATTTTTTAAAAAAAAAAAGAGCAATAACCTACTACGTCCATGAATACAACGTGCAAGGCTCCCATGCTCCCGTTTCCCACCAATGTTTCCCACCAATATCCGGGTGCACTGAGTCCCTGTCACCGTGCTGTAGCCGAACCCCAGTGTGGCAGCTGCCGCCAAGTAAAATCCCCTGGGGAAAAAACAAGTTTACCTGGAGAGGCAAAGGAAGATGCACCGGGCAGAGTGTCAAGGGGTACGCCTCCGGCTCTGCTCAGCTCCCTGGAGGACAGGACGTCCCTGGCAGGCTGGGCACCCCAGAATAGCCCCTTGGCCGCCCCCAGGGCAACCCCGGAAAAGAGGAGAAAAGGGGAGAGAAAACCCATACTCCTTGTGTTGTTCTCAGAGCACCACTAAGCCTGGGAACAAACTCTCGGGGCAAAACCGATGGCATCTGACCAGAAACGTGTCCGCGCAGGTCAGCGGCGTGGCTGGGAAGCCAGAACTCAACATTTCCTGAGATTCACAATCTTCGGTCCTGCGAGCCCATCCCTTTCAACAGGCGACAGCTGCATTTATTGAGAAGACGACAGTCACCCCTGGAGGGAGCATCGGGGAGAGGGTTCCCTGGGACAGACCACCCTCTGCCCGCCTTCCACCCCTGCGGCCAGAGAAGCAGCCACCAGGCCCCGCCAGCTCCGGAGCCGCTCGGTGAACCTGTCAGGGCGTTTGCGGAATTGCCAGCAGGACTGCAAACAGCGAGACCCGGGCGTGTGGCAACTTGCACAATCGTTTCTCACCAAACGAAAAGCCCCGTTCCCAACCTAAACGGTGACATGTGGCTTTGGGGGGCTGGGGGGGAGGGGGGACGGGGGACGGGGACTGAACACCACTTTCTTCTCCACATTCTAACCCTGAAACTGCTTTCTAGGACTTTCCCTTTCTCATCCCCAGGACCCACCTCTGCGGGAGCTTTTAATACCAGACTTGGCGCTTTACAGGAAAGCAGCAGATTTCCTCTCAGTTCAAAGAATGGTCTTAAAACCCTCAACAGAGTGCCCTAGCCGGCCTGGCTCAGTGGACAGAGCATTGGCCTGCGGACTGAAGGATCCCAGGTTTGATTCCTGTCAAGAGCATGTGCCCAGGTTGAAGGCTCAATCCCCAGCAGGGGGAGTGCAGAGGCAGTCACGCCAATCAATGATTCTCTCTCAAAAACTGATGTTTCTCTCTCTCCCTCTCCCTTCTTCCCTGACATTAATAAAAAAACCTAAAAACCACTCAACAGAGCGGTTGGTCTCCAAACGCCCGCCCGGAGATGGGGGAGGGAGGAGGAAGAGAAGTGGACGCCATGGACACCTGGGGACGATGCCAGCACCCGACAACTTTACAGGGAGTTGACAGGTGTGTACAAATAAGGCCCTGGCGAAGGACGGGCCCAGAACGCAGGAATGCTCACACAAGAACATGGCACTGAGGCCTCACCTGCGCCGGGACTAACGGCAAAGCCACCATGTCCGCCTCTGCCCCTCCCAGGCACCGCCCTCCTCACACCCTGCACACTGCCCACGCCCCACCCTGAACGAGGAGAAAAATGGCCCCACCACCTTATCCATAATCGCCATGCCACGACAAGTAGAATTTTCTCAGGCTCGAGATTCTAACGGAAACAGCAACATGATTCTGGAGAGAGAGAAAGTGAAGGTCCCAGCCCTGCACAGCAGCGCTGACCCCACACCACAGTGGTCCTGTGTCTGAACCTAACTTCAAAAAGGGGAATGCAGACCATCGGCACCGTTAACGAAAAACAAAGCTGGGAAACGGTGGAGAGTGTGCTGTCTGGCCACTCGTTTTGATTGTGGCAGTGTTACCTTTCAGAACCGCTGGCCTGCTTTCTCTCGGACCTGCTATCGCGTTATGAGAAAGGCAAAGCAGACCATGAAAGCTGTTTCCTTCTCCTGGGCCACGAAGCTCAAAAGCTTTAAAAATCAAACTTCAACTTTTTTTTTTTTAAGTCAGTCTCCAGCGGGAACTTTACCCTCCCCTAGTTTTTCCAAAGCTGCCAAACACTTAGGTAAACACCGGATTTCAAAAGTCACCTGGGCCTTAGCAGGTTTGGCTCAGTGGATAGAGCATAATCAGCCTTTGGACGGAAGGGTCTCGGGGTTCAATTCCGGTCAAGGGCACACCTGGATTGCAGGGGCACTGAGCCCGTGTGCGGGAGGCAGCCAATAGAAGTTTCTCTCTGTGCGTCTCTCCTCTTTCATTCCACTCTCTCTAAAAATATCCTCTGGTGAGTATCAACTAAATAAAACAAAAGGTCACCTGGGCAATTCACGTCTGTCCTTGGTGCGTAATGTGATGCTCAAGTGTGACACCTCCCAATGTCCATTACTGTCCATGTGTCCCAGGGTCCCAGAGAGACCGCCCTTCCCCAAGTTCAAATGCAGGCAGAACACCGATGCCATTTTTCTCTCGTTCTTCCTGGCAATTTTCCTCAAAAACCACATTCATACATCTCCTGGTTAATGGCTGCCCCTTTGTTCCGTAAACCCAAGCCGACCGGTCCGCACTGAGGGAAGAGCGGGCAGTGTGCTCACCACTGCTTTGTGATTATGTTCAGATGCCACGGTGGGAAAACCTCAAGCCGGCACAAACACGGAGAAACAGTATTTAATTAACGTGCGTAATAAGGGAGAGAAACTTTACAACTAAATGAATGAAACGCCACTTCCGCGTGGGGACGTGACAATCCTTAACCATCTGCGAATGGAGAGAAACTGAAAAGTTTTAGGCAGAGAAAGGAAACGCTCGAGTTCCAGACGCGGAGACTTACCTGACTCCTCTCTTTGTCCACCTTCTTAAAACACTTATTCAACGACAAATTGTGTCTCACTGAGTTTTTCCACCCAGTCGGTGCGTTTGCAAAATACGGGAAATGTTCCAAGATCCAGTTGTAGATATCCTTCACCGGCAGGCGCTTGGTCGGGGAGTCCTCGATGGCCATAAATATGAGGCAGCTGAAGGAGTAGGGGGGCTTGCAGTTGGGGTTCTGCCTGGCATCGTAGGGCAGGTCGGAGTGGGCGGGGGACGGGGGCGTGTCGTCGTCCGGGTCTTGGACGGGGCTGACGCTCCGGAGCACCGACTCCCCGAAGCTCTTCAGCAGGTTCTTGCTCTCGTGCAGCCAGTTCAGGTTGGTCAGCTCCTCATCTTCCATGGCCCCCTCTTCTAGGCGGATGTCGGGCAGGGAGAAGTCGAGGTCATCGTCTTCCTGGAGGGCCTTGGAGAAGCCGCTGCCCCGGTAACACTGGCTCAGCCCACGGGAGACGCTAATTCCTGAGCTTTCCGGCTTCTTGCTGGGAGGCATGACTGGACCCATCTACGTGAAGGCTCCTGGTATAAACACAGTCCACAGAGAAAAGTCAGTGACACGCAAACCGGAAAGGCAGCCGAGTCCTCTGGTCCCCACCCCCGCCGCCGCCTCCTCGAAGGACCCCCTCCTCCTACACAGGAACACGCCTCCCAGCTCCTACCCCAAGGGATGCGAACCCACGATGCTGCCCCACAGAGGTGCTCAGGAAGTAAAATGGGTCTATCGTGCATACAGCTCAGGAACTGTCACCCCCCTCAACACATCAATAAGGACGGGCAAGTCCATATGCCTTCTCTCCCTGGATCTACAAACACTCTCCCTGGGACCCTGGGAAGATCAGTTATTTCTTGCTGCCTCCGTTCCTCTATTAACACAGGAACATACATGCACAAGTACAAATATTTCAAGCCTCGTGATTACACTCTACCTACTAAGCTCAACGCACAACCCCACTTTGTCGCTTCCGGTCCTTCTCAAAAGTTAAGTTTAAGGCCAGTGTTTTCAGAGTTTCCATACAAAGACCCCTGAATTAAAACGGTGGCCACAAGCATCAATTTGATATGTTTTACTTGATTCTCTCCCTTCCACCCCCGATCCACAAATCATGATCAAACACTTAATTACATTTAACTTTGATTACATTTGAATTCTGTGGGTTCGAACTGGAGCAATAAATGCATTTAATTGTATAGGGACACGACACTCTGGACGGAAAAGCAAGGACGGCAGACACGACGCAAACAAAGCCATGCGCCGAGATGAAGATTGGTGGGGAAAAGTCAGGAGAGCAAAAGGGCAGCGTGGAGGCAGGCAGGCCCGCAAATTCAACAAAAGTGGCTCCAGGATTCTCTTCCGCTGCCGCCCCCACTTTTGTCAATGACCTAGAACAGGGAGTAAAATATCTGATGAGAGAAGACACTGAGGAGGTGGCGAGTCCACAAATAGAATGGCCCCCTTGCACTCCGTGTAAGACATAAAGGACAGCGGAGATAATGAAGCGAGGTCTCCCACTCTCCGACTGCCGCGCTCAAACAATGTGCGTGGTGTAAGACACGTGTCTGTTTTATGTTTTCCCGCCCCCCACCAGGGAGAAGATCAAGCAATCCATCCAAGGGGGGAAAAAAAATACATCAAAAGCAAAGAATATGATTACGGCTGGAAATGTCCACTGACACTAGGAAAACAACTGCCCTTCAGCTGGGGATGCTCTAGAATTGGATTCTAGAAAGCCAACCCCAGGAGTCGCAGAACCAACCTCGGGTGCACCCTCCCTCTGCCAAAAAGCAGACAAACAGAACCTGCTGACTGAAGGCCTGGGGGGAACTCTCTGGAACAGCTATGAGATGACCAATTCCAAAGAAACTTCCATGGGCATCGAAGTCCCATGGACAGGGCAGTTTGCATACCTCAGGTTCATCCAAGTTAGTATTTCTTTCTGTCATGTACTAACCTGAATAGCACATGACACATTTTAAAGAATAAGCTCGTATCTTGAGGCGTGGGGGTTTACAGAGACCAGGCTGATAATGCTTTTGCCTTCTTTATGAAACAATCAAAACTGGGTTTGTCTCTCTCAAAGTTTCCTCAGATCCCAATAAAAAAAAAAAAAACACGAATTTTTGGATAACTAGGAATATCCATCCACACAGTGGAGTACAAAAGAGAACTACTACCCAGCCACTGAAGTCAACTTTAGCTCTAGACGAAAGTTTTTCGTCTCCCCAGCTTCCAAACAGGAAAATTATATCATGGCTGACAGTAATTTAATTGCATTGTTGCTATGACAACATGCTGCTCTCTTTCTTTTTAGTTTGTCAGTAGCTTCCCAAAGGAACTAACATGCTCTTCTCCATGTTTCCTTTTGTTTTAAACAAACACTGACGGCAGTACGGTTTTCTTAGGAAAACAGTTAAGAAAGCAGGATCACAGGGTCCCGTTCCCTTGGATCATCTGCACGTTTTTGTCCGTCCCCTGCTCGTGCCCTTCAACGGTGAAGGCATCCCTACAAGCCCCTGTTCTAAAGCAACAGCAGCCAGAACTGCTGATCACTCCAGTTCCATTTTTAAAAAGTTCCCAGAAACCACAGCTGAGTTTTCCATTATTATACTCAAACTACATAATTCGCCAAATCTTTTCCACCCAATTTTGGGGGGGGGGGGGGTTTGAGGGAAATCCAGGATCATGTGAATCTGCAGTGAGACAAACATCTTGAATCTGCTGCCAAAAAGGTTGCTCCATCATATACTCACTAGTGACCTCCTTACAACGTCTCGGTTTACTATTGGTTGCATTCCCCCAACACACACACACACACACACACACACACACACCTCAGTTTTTGTTTGTTTGTTTTATGACTTGGGTCTCGTTATCTTTTTTTGCTTTTCAATGGACAAAAATGCAGCAGGAAAGTAGTTTCTTTGCCCGCTCTCAGAATGTCTCCAAATAACTGACAAAGCCATTACTGGCCCAGCTCTGCACAGATGTTCGCAGTGAACTTTAAAAAAAAAAGTTGAGAAATCCTCCCCGAGCCTAACCCGGCAGTCGCGAGTTGGGGGGGGGAGGAAGAAAAGACACCCAAACCCTCCCTCCTTCCTCCGCGCGCACGCGCGCACACGCACGCGCTCCGCTCCGTCTACTGTACTTGTCAAAAACATTTCAAGGGGACCTGCGGGCGCGGCGATTGGCTGCGGCCCGCGTCCATCAGCGGCCGTTGCCAGGCAACGGGGAAAACTGCTCTTCTCCCCGCAGACACGGCAATTGGGAGCTCGCATACCTTCACTGCTGGTCAGATGTCATAAACCTTTGATTGGCTGCACCGCTGCGAACCTTACAAAACACATCAATAAAAGCCTGCCGTCCCCCCAACTTCTCCAAGACCCGAGGAGGCTTCCAAAGAGGGCCGGGGTGGGGAGGGGTCGGGCCTCGGGGAGTCTCGGGGGACGCACCCCGCCGGTGCCAAGCCTGCAGTTTGTGGGGGAGGGTATCTTTGTTAGCAGCCTGTTCCTCATCTTGGGGTGTCTGTTGTCTGGATCGGTACCCTCTCCCCGCCTCCGCCGCCCGGAACGGCGGGGATCCTGCCTGTCCTCCGCGGACAATACCAACTCCGTTCTTTTTGGGGCGTCTTTCCTGGCAGCGGGAAAGAGCTCACACGTCGGGGCAGGAAACTCTTCGGACCCGGCAACTTCCCGGCTCGGGGGGCTCCGGACTCCCCGCCCGCCCCGCGCTCTCCCCCAGGAGCCGCACTCGGAGTCCCCCGCCGGCCGGGTGCGGGCGCCTCCGGGACCGCGGCGAACCAGCGCCTCCGCCCCGGGCCACCCAGTGCCGCCCCGGCGCCGGCCCGAGCGCGGAGCCCACTCACCTGGCCGGAGCGGGGCGCGGGGGCGCGGGGGCGCCGCTGCCCTTCAGCGGGAGGAGCCCACAAACTTTGGCGGGCGCCCGGCGGGCATGGCTCGGGGGCCCGGCTGAGGGCGCGCGGGCGCGGCGCGGCGAGCCCGGGGCGGCGGGCGGCGGGGGGCGGCCGCGGGTGGGCGCGGGCGGCGGGGGCGCGGGGGTCGCGGCGCGGCATGGGACCTGGGCGGCCAGTCGGCGCGCGGCGCGTCCTCCTCCTGCTCCTCCTCCTCCCGCCGCCGGCCCGCCGCTCTCCCCGCCCCGTCCCGCCTCCCGCTCGCCTCCGCCGCCGCGGCGCGTTGGGCCGGGGCGCGTCGAGCGAGCGAGCGGCGAGAAATTGTTTCCACTGCAAACAAAAAAAGGCGACACATGACCAGGCAGGAGGAGGGGGAGCGCGGGGAGGGAGGAGGGAGGGGAGCGAAGGGGAGGGCCGGAGCGCAGGGGGCGGAGGGAGCGGGAGAGAGGGAAAACGTGGGCCGGGCCGCGGGCGGTTTGGGGCGCGCGGGGTGCGGACCCCGCCGGGCCAGCCCTGCCCGCTCCCCGCGCCCCGCGATCTGGCCTTCGCCCGGGCGCCCCCAGGTCGCCGCCGGGAACCAGGCCGGGCTGGGCCGCACGGAGTCGTCTCCCGCGGCCCCGCGGAGCGCGGGCGACCGGCTCGGGGTTCCACGACCCGGGGCAGCCCCGGCCGCGGGCGGCGTGGCTGGTGCGGCCGGAGGCGCACGGCCTGGCTCTCCCCGGGCTCAGCCACGCGGGCGGGCGGGCCGGCTCTGCGCCGCTGGCTACGTGTCTCCGGAACGCCGCTACCCCATCCGCATACCTTACATGGCTCGAAAGTAAAAATAAAAAGAATTACGAGGCGGGCGAGGCTTGCAAGGGGGGATAAGAGAGATTCCACTTCTCCCCAACTAAGGCGTCCCGGCGGGACTCCCGGGGCCTTCCCCGGAGCTCCCCCGCCGCCGCCCCACCTCGCGCCCCAAGAGAAAAGGCACAAAAGCACCGCGGTCTCAGGCCCAGGTGGCCGGCTCCCCGGGGGCGAGTGCAGACGCCTTTCTTCTGCCAAGGGAGGAAGGGTGGCCATTACGGATTACAGAGCAAGGGCCCCATCCCAAAGGCCACGCCGGGAGAGCCTCTCCAGTGGGTTGTGCTCATCGCCCGACCCACTTCTAAACCTCCAGCGAAAAGCTCCCTCTCCTTCATAGTCTGAGCTCTCAAGAGCCCCATGAGTCACATGGGGCACCCAGCAAAGAGCTCGGCAACCACTCCAAGTCTTAAGGTTCCTCCCTTAAAGCATGGCCACCCGCTGCTCAAGTCACACCTAGTAAGTACAGCCTTGGAGAGGAGAGTCCCACAGGACAGACACCCTGGTGGTGACATAAATAAAAATATGTTCGCACCACGCGCCCACGTAGCCAAATCAGCAGGTTGCAACACAGAAGAGAAGTCCAGGTCACTTCTGCCACCCCTGCCTGAACCCGCAGGAGCCATCTGAAAATTGCAGAACCACCAGTAAGAAGGCCTGAGCGACCTCCCTCAGAAACCTCTCCGGCTTGCAGTACTTCATAACCTGGCCAATGGGGTGGGGGACAAGTCCCACGGGGCGTCAGAAGGTTTTTAGTTTTCTGATTTCAAA